AGCGGTAGTAGTAGCGGTAGTAGTAGCGGTAGTAGTAGCGGTAGTAGTAGCGGTAGTGGTGGTGGTAGTGGTAGCAGTGGTAGTAGTGGTGGTAGTAGTAGTAGCAGTAGTAGCAGCCTCCTAGTCTTTCAAGCAGCATCTTGCCTCCCTGGCAGTGGTCGAGTCAAGTTACCATGTGGGTCCAAGGCGGTGCAGAATTGGTAATGTTGTCCACCATGTCATGGTCGACCCTCACTCTGTGATGCGTAGAATCTGGCTGACCCCGGTTTTGCAGCACTAAACATCCAAACTCTGGACTTTTCCTATCAACAGGTTCAGGATATTCCAGGATGGGTTCTTGGTAATTGTGGGTCAAGTCACGCGTTTGGAGGACTCAAAATCCATGTGATGTACAGTATATCGTACTACGTCTCTTCCAAGAGTACACACAACTCAGACTACCCCAATTAGAAAAACCATCTAGCACCATCCAAGGGGTGCCCAGTTCCCAGACCATCCATGGGACTGGAATGTAAAACATCCTATAAGATCCCTGAAACTACCCCAATCCCAATGTAAATCTTCCAGTCCGGATGGTCTGGGCAAACATCACGGAACGGAGTGCCAGGTGCCCCAACTGATCTTGGCCTAGCAACGGTGGCCGTTTCGTGGGTTTCGGCCCAGGAACGTGTCACACGGCCAGAGGCGAGAGTGGCCGAACTGGAAAAGAAAAGTAATCCGTAGAGGAAGTGATCTGTCATCCATCGTCTGGGTGGACACAAACGGGTATAAACCCGGAAAGGAGAGCACAGCTACACATCTTGATACCCTAAGAGATGACGACCATCGACTACCGTGCATGGTAGATCATAGGCCGGCGCTTCATCGCCAAGCCGTTAGACATTGTTGACCGCCGTCAAAGGGGGTCTGGGCGCCCAGGGCCGAGCCAACACAAGGAAGTAGGTGGGTTTCGGTTTGGGCAGATTGACTAGGAGCGAACGACTCCTCTATCTGTTTCACAACCAACTTGAAACGTCCCCCGTCAACAACGACTGCAATGTTAGTTTGGTGTTCCTTTGCTCCAATGGTTGTTTGGTTTTTCTAGCCTATGGAGTTTTAGGAAGGTTGCCAGCGCTGTTGTCCTGGGGGTGCAGTTTTTCAGTGGTGGTGAGGGGGCATCCCCTGCCCTAAACTGCTTGCACTTGGCTTTAGGTCGGCTGTGGTTTAGTCAGTTCTTCTGTTTTTTGGGGGTTTGGCTGGAACTGGCTTGGCTTGAAAAAGCTGGAGGGCAGGGTTGGGCACAAAGCCTCATACCGAAGAGCAAACCAAGTGCCAAGCCACCAAAAAGCTGCAAAATGCCAACTAAACGATGTGATCAACACCTGAAAATCTACCAGAACCACAAAAAGTCCAAGCCATCAAAACCAAACCAACCCAAAGTCACACAAGCCACAAGCCTCAAATGCCACCGAAGCCAAAAGCCAACTCCACAGAAGCCCCAAACGGCAAAAGCCACAGAAGTAACACGTAGAGAAATAGAAATAAAACAACACAATTCGATAATAGTATAAAACCAAATTGCCCATCTTGCTCGACTCCTCGTGAAATTGAACAGGAGTGGAAAAAACACCGGCTGAACTGGCTGATCTGTCATAAATTGCTTCGAACGAGCTAGGCTCTCATTTCGGCCAGGAAGAACCAATAACGCCAGTGAGCACTCTCCAAGAAAAGGAACCGCTCAGAACATTCACCTCCTGCGTCAACGTCACATCCTGCCTTGCGCCGCCTGTGCGTTGATCGCCCTGGCGCGTGACCACCGCAACGTGCTCACAAGCGTGAGAGGCACATATAGCTGGATCCAATCCTGCAAAGCTTGCAAAACATCAATTATATATACACAGGTATATATGATATATCAGATCATTTTATGAATCCTATAATATATTAGATTAATAAAAAATATTAAAAAATATGTATATATATATATAATTATACACCTTCCACACCATCCAAACACCCCAAAGAACCTGGATTCCCTGGACCACTCATTGCGATCTCCGTGTTTGGGCCCCTCCACGATCTGACCCAAAGGAGCCACGGCCATGACCAGGACCCATGCTCCAACCTACGACCGCGATGGCCTTCAACCGAAACTTAAAGAGCTTAACATGGGCGGAGACAAGGCGCTCTATGCCCCATTGGGTTTCACGTGCTTCACTTGGATCAAATCTTCAAGACCCCTGGCTCCATTCAGAGTTGCCCGTTTCCTTGGTCGAAAAAAACCATTCAAAACGCTGCTCTCCGCCGCAACGGGCTGGACCGCCCGCGGGGCTCCGCCTCCGAATGTCTAAGGCATGGCAACGACCAGGTGCACCTTCGGTCCACAGCGACGAGGCGGGCTCCGTCCCGAGGACCGAAGCGACCGCTTGGCGGTTTGCTTCCCAACCGCTGGACCGAACGTGGTGATGTGGAGGATGCTGAAGTGGACCATGTCATATGTTTGAAGAAAGGGTAAAACTAACCCATATATGATTTTTCCGTGCTTAGCTGAGTTTAGACAGCCAGGTAGGCAAGACATCTATTACAAGTATATAAAAGTAAACTTGGTTAGAAGTTGGCTAGAAAGTTAAAGAGTAATAAGAGTGTATACAATTACCACCCTCCAACAGGTCCCCTCTGGTGGCTTTTGGAGACTTGAAAGTGGCAGGTGTTGACCTGTGAGGTCGGGTGCTGGTACAGAATATATTGACATCCTTCACCAAAGAGGGCGGGTGGACCCAACTTCTCCGCTGGTCTCCACTCCTCGACTTTCTCCATGACTCCGAGCGACTTGACATCCTTAAATGAAAAACACATTTCCTCACTAGAAGCGACCAAAATCATCATTGGTTCTTCATCCCTCCTCAGTAGCTCAGCAAGCAACAAATCTATTACACCTTGTTGAGTCTTCTACGTAGCCGGTGCAACCAACGAACTCATTTCTACTCCCCTGTTCACAAGTCAAGCTCCCTGTCATCATCATCCCGGTCTCTTCGCTGTCTCTTCACTAGCACCGGGTGCCCCTGACTGGGAACATAACTCTGAAGCCGATCTTGGCCGAGGCTCAGATCCACCTCAGCACGTGGAGTTTGAGATTGGCCCAAATCCATCCGCAAACACCGAGTTGCATGGAACTGGCACATAGTGACCTAAGATGGGGTCGTTTCAATGTATAGGTACGTATAAACTCCTGGATCTTCCAACTAGGCAAACGATCTGCCTTTTCATTCCAAACACCACCCAAAAGACAAACATGTTGCATAGTTGGAAGATGCAGGTATATTATGTTCCAGTCCGATCGAGTGTTCGTCCGTGAACGATGGAGTGTGGGAAAATGTGCATCCAGCGCAGGGGACAACACTTGAAGTACGTCACCTACTCATGTTGTTGTTTGTTTGTTTTCTTGCTGACTAGAGAGTCTTACTGACTCCAACTTACTCTTAGAACTAAACTGCCACCTGGAAAAAGGAAGTTTGAGAAGAACAGTGAATGCATTTTAGTATGATGCACTTACAATACCAGTATTATATCTATCTTTAACATTAACAATTAATGATATATTAATGAGCAGTAAATTCACTACCTCTGCCCTCGCCCAGGCTTTAAAACATCTGGCCGTGGCTTCGGTCATTTCTGGATCTCCGTCGTCGTCTGTCTGGTGCTTCGCGCATTGGTTGAAGCATGAAGCCCGACGTCTGACCTGGTGGGTGGATGAAAACGATGAGTCACTCGGATCAAGCAACGGCTGTGGGTCGCACTGGGGGACCTACCGGTTGACCGGTTGCAGGGTGAAACGGGTTTTGACGGCAGCCATTCATTTTGCGCGGCGCGCAACGCTCAGGTTCTCTAGGTTGTAAAGAAATATATATGTGTTTCTTTTTTACATCTATATATTCAAACCTAATATGATTTATAATACAACTTTATATACAATTACTATTTGATTCAAAGAAAAAGGGAAGCACTGCATTACGCCCTTCACAGTTCGAACCCCGCCCGTCTCTTCACCGCCCCATTCTCGGCCACCCAGGCTGCGGCTCGACGATCCGCCACCAGGAACTGCGGAGCTGCTGCTCGGCGCTGCTCGGGCCAACCATGCCCCCCCGGGATTGAAAAGAAAAAGAAAACCATAACATACCATAAACCCCCCAAGGTTTGTGTGCTTTTTTTATGTTTTTGTTTTCCTTTTCGCATTTGGGGATTGAAACTGTAAAAAAAAAAAGAAAAGAAAACCACATCGTTTCTCTCACATCTCTTCCGATTCCTGTGGGGGATTCGGCTTCCACCTTCCCGTTTCCCGCGCGTCGTCGACGGGTCTGGACGAGAGACGTCGTCCGACTTCACCCCGTCGGCGAGCCGATGTGTTGATACTCATGTTCTGGGATGTTCTGGGTTCTTGTTGGGTTCTGGTCCGCTTCATGTCCGAGTGAGAACGTACTGATCAGTGGGTAGTAAGTGGTCAGCCGGTTTTCAAGCTCTACCTCGGGAGAATAATCAGATAAGCATGCAACAAATATATATGTTGCATGTATTTCGTGGCCATGCCATACTCTCATATACCTTAGAGAATGGCCTCAGCAACGACTGCAGCAAAATCCTTTTTGTATCTTTGTGTCGGATCTGTCCGAGGGCGCACGAGTAGCTAGACACTCACGAGAAGCCGCTTTGCGTGGGACCGCAGTCAACAGTCCACAAGGGTATGGATCTATCGGCTGACCACCGATACGTATCATTGGCACCGACAAAAGAAGCCTTGCGGTGTATCAACAATGTATTATATGGACTATCATCATATGGTTCCTCAAACCACGGCTGTGGAGTCAGGACATAAAGACTATGCACCCGAACTTGGGAAGAAAGACCATCGGACCAGAAAACAAGACAGGATGACATGGTGCCCCTCAAACCAGCCGGTTGATGCGTCGCAAGGATGACATGGTGAACAAGAAGGCCATTTCTAAGTGAAAAAGAGCCCGGGACATTGGGATGTACACCAGCAAAAAATGTACACACAATATACTTATGGCATCTTATGGTAAATAATCCTTTTAGGCAGGGTGTCTATCACCGGCCAGGCTGCCAGTTGCGTTGCTTTGAACATGTCTGCACTGTAGGATTCTGAGTTCATGCATGTCAGTGTTCCCCAACCTGCAAAACGACTTCTCGCCAGGCTGGTGGCAACGCTTTTCGGGCAACGCTTCTCGTACGTAATCGGTGAGTCCAGCAAAAACTGCAAGGATTTTGCAGCATGGTCACATCTGAGGCTGACCTCTGCAGGGTCTGCCATGATTAACACAGTTACATTCCATCTGAAGACCTTGAAGATCTACGATCTCAAGACACTTTTACCAGGTCCAGTTTGTCAGTTCCATAGATCACGCACAACATGCCAAGATAGGTTCGCAAACCCCATCTTCCCACATCGAGGTGACTCAGGTGACCCATGATCTGTGCAAATGTGATGCTGGACCACCACAAACCCAAAGCTTCAGCATGCACAAGTACATTGTACCAGTAATCGCTCAAGATTGTCATGAGTCGATAAAAATCTGCCGCTGAGGTAAGCAAACATATCTGCTTCAATCTGGTCGACACATTCGCCCAACTCCCCGGTTGTTCACACAACACATTCGCCTGGAATCTGCGTATGATCTACGTACCCGTACTGTGAGCAGGTGTCTCACTGTTCTGTAGACCAGCAAGGTCTTAGGAGATCCATGTACCGAACCTGAGAAGGTAAGACTGGATCCTGGATGGGATCAGGTGCTTCATCAGGTGCTTCATCAGGTGCTTCATCAGGTTCGCTTCACCATGACCGTTACTTCAGGGACATCGTCGTGAACCATCCAGTCTTGGTGGAAGGCCATGACTCAAGAGCTGCGTACCATCCAGCCCCACTGGAAACGGAGAACATTGACCACCCACATCTGCCCTGAATTGAACATGCTTTGAACATTTGAAGCAGGTCTCATCCATGATGAAAGTGCTATCAAATCAAGACCTGAGGTTGTGTGAACAAAACCTTCTAATATACTAATATGCCTATTATACCACTCTTAAAAATAGTGTGTTTTTATTTATTGTCGTTTTAAAGTGCTTTGACTAAGTGCAACATGAATGTGTAGTATACAGTGCACTGCATGCATTTGGTGCGTGGAACCTGGCAGACATGAGGACATAAGTTGACATTCCAATTCCATGCAGCCCGTGGAATAGCAAGCAACTCACCCACCCACATTTAAACATCATTCCCTCCTCTTTTACAGTCCATGGAAATCACATATGTGAGCCGTTGAGGGGAAGGTGATTTAGCTCGCTACGTCACAGTGCTTGTTGAAGTGTTGCTATCGTTTTCGTGCCTGGAACCATGCCCGGCACAAAGTGTTTGGTGGGTTGTCAGTTGTCTTCCTTTTCAGTGGATCAGTGGATGTTTCGCATGCTTCTCGCCTGTTTTCACGGACATGCAGTCCGATGGACTTTCGGGGCATGACTGAGTCTGACGCATCGGTGTCCGTTCGCCTCATCAGTTGAAGGTTCCGTTCGCGTCCGAGGTGTCCGGTCGTAGTGTGCTCCGTTCGACTCGGTCCGCGTCCGGTTCGGTGTGCTCCGTTCGAGAAGTCGCGATGCCGCCCCGGACTCGGTCCGCGTCCGAACGCTCCTAGTAGTATGGCTATATATATATATATATATTGGCTTCCCACCTGTTTCACTGTCCAGGGAGGAAACCAATCTCCAGAAAAGGTTTGATGCTGCAAATCAAGGTGATCCGCTTTTCCTGGCATGTCTCAGTGGTTGAAACATAAAGGTTCTTCATGAAGCTCTGAAGCCATACCAGTCTGGATGGTTCGCAGCTTGGCCGGCACCCGTCCGAAGTGAAAGTACGTTTGTCATTGCTCTTCACACCCAAGGTTGAAACGTACGTGTAAGTACCCACTGTGTTATATAAGAATACTATTCTTTTCAACACCAATGCGTTCACCAAAACGTCTGTTCATTCTTTCAACTTCTGTTGCACCTCATCTCGACAGCTTGCCCAGCTTGCTCTCGAATTATGCCAGACCAAACATTGCAATTCGCCAGCCCAGGGTGTACTGTGCAACACTCCTAAAAGCCGATATACACAGTACAATACAGTACATACAAACAGTACAAACTGAGCCCAATTCGTGAGACCCAACAATTCGCCAGACCCAACAATTGCAGTCAAAAATCTGTGGATTTTCTCTGGAAATATTGGAGAAGTCGACGGTATCGCAGCAGCAGCGATCAAGGGCCCCCTTGGGGGGTTGACCAATTGCAGCATATGCTTACTCGAGTTGGAGGGTCGGGATGCATCACCTGTTGTACTCAGTAGAATGTCATACCTAGAAGGTTCTTCTTTTATCTTTAGCAAACAGTTCTGCCTCCAATGATTGTCCGTGAAAACATGCAAATGCTCTTGCCAAATGAACATGGGCAGAAATGATGGCCTCACTAGGGTCTAGGCAATCACTTTAAGAGGCCATTGTGGAAGCCAAGGGATTGGGATCTATTGTTGGCTCCTTCGAGGGGAGGGTTAGCTACTACACTCCCTGAAATAAGCCATCGGCCAACATGGATGGCATGGTTTTGATCTCGGATCACCATGAAATCCGCAGTCCAAGCAGATGGATTTCCCCGTAACCGTGGTTTCTTTCAGGGAGTGTAAAGTGCAACAGTATCCAACAAGCAGAAGAGGTCCCTGCCTTGGCTACGGGACATGAGTGCTTGGCTCTCAGCAGGAAAGTGCCCCGGGTCTGGCGTTGCGTGCTCGACCTGATTGTGCGACCTCGAGCAATCGGGCAGGCGCCGGACTGTCTTGACCAGCCCTTCCTGAAAACAAAAAAACTCTAGCCAACCACTAGGTACCCACTGCAGAGTTGCAGCAAAAACATATACAAAGTGATTTCTAGTTGATGATGTCAACAAAGCAAAATACATGCCAACGATTGATTTCAAGTATCACATGCACTTCATGAAACTTTTGAACAGCCTACAAACACCACTGGTACTTTTCGCTACCTCCACTGGTCTTCCAACACCCACCCTTGCTCTTCAAATCACCTGGATGTTCCGCATCAAAATTGCGATGCTGGGGGTCTTCCACCAAAGCATGCAAATGCGGCCCCAGGTCCAACGTGATCACAGAGATCAGGTGCCAATCCAGACTTAAACACACCTGGATCGGGGATCAAGCGCAAATCATGGCCCCATGGGACTTCATCAGCTCTAGCAACGAACCATTCAGCACACACCATACACATGGGAGTTCATCAACTCTAGGACTCCAGGAATCATTCATCTTGCATGTTCTTTCTTGGACTACATATACGCGCACCCGAAAAAAGAGGTTTCCTCTAGTGGTTTTTCGATGTTCCTGGATATTTAACAGTGGCCGGTGGTGGGTGACCTGTTGGAGGGCCCTGGCATGGCTATCTTATATAATACCCAAAAAATGTTTCGGGGTGATTAAAACCGTCTCTCCATGTTAGAGGTTCCTCGCACTGGTCATGTTTACGGTGTGTATTGGAAATGTTTGGGTTGGTGCACTGAAATCAACAGAATTTATTTGGGGAAAATGGTAGCCGAAACACACCCAGGAAATTGGTTGTTTTTGTCTTTGTAGCTTCGTGGGTTTCTGTTTGGCATCTCTATGGCTTGTGGAAGCTACACCCAGGAGTGGGCTATCCAAGCCCAAACCCTTGTTGCTGGTGCTGCTATCGCTGGTGCTGGACTTACCTCGCATTTTCGTTTTCAAATTACTCTACCTCGTACCTCGTCAGGTGGGCTCGCCTTATTTGCCCAGAAATATTGTGAACACCTTTCTTTGGGGGTGTTGAGTTGGGTTTGTCATGGTTTGATGTTCCAGGTGGGCAAAGCGAGGTCACCTAACATCATGGAATCTTCTTGACGAAAGGCCCAGTCCACTGAAGATAACGGTTGGGAAGGAGGTAGTTGGAGTTAACCTCTATTTACCAGCGGACCGCAGCATGTTATTGGGACAACGCAATTGATGTGACCCGGGAATGGACGGACCCTAT